GGATTTGTACAGGTATACAGTTTACCATACATGACTGAACAAGTAATATTGATTATAAATTTTACACATACACCACTAATTCAATAGAATGTATCTGTCTATAATGGTGATTCTTTAATGTATACCATTGATTAACCCAGTACAATTAATGGGTATCTCTGTCACTGGCTCAAAATATCCTTACAATATATATTAGAGGGTTATTTTACAGTGCTGCATGAACATAGAGATTTATTTTTACACTCTGAAAGGGAGAATGTATTTAAACTGTGTTAGTTTTTTTTTCGGAATAATGTCATGCGAGTCATGTGAACTGATTTTTTCAAACTTAAATACATACATGGGACATTGATGCATGTTACATTGTTTTGCAGATCAGATTCAAAATGGGTGGCTGGTGGCCATTTTGTTTTGATGAATGCTATTTCATTACCATATCTTGAGGACATGCCTTGACTGATCATTCACAAGATAGCTGAATGTCGGTTATTTTAGTGCTAACAAAAATCATCCAAATCAAGTATTTCTGTCATTCTGGAACTAGATCTTGGTTTTGTATGGATGGATTTCATTGAAAATTGGTAGATTCATTGAACATAATTGTACATTTGTACCTTGGTGGATGTCATTTAATTTTTTTTTTTTTTAGTAGATTTGATTTGAAATGGCTGACTGGTGGCCATTTTAACAAATGGCGTCCCAGAAACATTTCTGACATTTCCATGGGATCCATACACTCCTATATGAACTTGCATTGAAAACAGACAGGGACTATATCATGACATGACTTGTGTTTTATAATATCTTGCGTAGAGTGTTCATGTAATTAGTAAAAGTACTGGTATTACAATGCTTTCAGCTTTGTATATTCTAATTTCAACATTAATAGTCTTTATATAATTCTGTAGATCCTGCAGGATAGATTTTTTTTTTTTTTTGTAAATTTTCAGATATGACTTTTACCTTGTTGATATAATTATCAAAGCCTTTTTTTTCGTACCTGTCTATAAAAACTGGTTCTGTTATTCTTTTGACATCCTTATTATAAAAAGAACTGCATCAGTGATTTCTTCATAAGCTGACAGTCCTTACATTTAAACCTACATAAACTTGTGACCATTTGTTTTTTTCTCTGATAGCTTTGTACTGATGTTGACAAACTCTGGGTGGTTGATGGCTATCCTGCACTTCGTTGGCATCAGACTGCTGACTATGGTTATGTACCCAATGAGAAAATGCCAAACGTCTTCATGGCAGTTGCCATGGATTTACCTGACCCCACCTCCCCATATGGATCGTAAGTGTTGTCTTTTCTAATGTGATTTTTAGAGTAATAACAAATTAGGGGAGTGTTAAATTAACTCTGTTTGGATACACCTGTGTGTTTAATAAAAGCTAGATAAAACAATCTGATTAAAATAGTAAGATCCCGTCTTTTACATTATATTTAGGTTTATTATATTTAATGTTATTTAGGGTTTTATTTTTTCCACTTTGACCTTGAAATCTCCCTTCATGGCAAGATAAAAAATAAAGAAAGTGGATACAAAAAACTAAATGTGATTTCTACATTGTTTGTAGTGATATATATAGTGATTGACAGTCATAAACAGTAGTATGAACGCCATTAAAACACATGGTTAAGTTTTAATGTGCATAGTGGCAACAACTTGTTTTCACAAAATTAGTACAGTGTTAACTACATTTGTTGCCATATTGCATTTTAATTAATAAAGTACATAGTGTGTGTGTGACAGTAATGAATGAAAGTACCTAATGTGTTTGACGGCAATAAACACACATTGCAGTTATATGTTACTTTATGTATTATATAATTCATCACATTATTTTTATTTGCAGAATCCACCCACGATACAAACAGGATGTCGGTTATCGTTTAGCATTGGCTGGAAGGGCAATAGCATACAATGAAAAGTACGTCAATTATGCAGGACCATTCCCTAGTAATATAACAGTGCAGTCATCTAATGACTTGGTGTCTGTTATATATGATATGAAACATATCCAAGTGAACCAGGATTCTGGGTTTGAGGTAAGTTGTAGATCTCCATCAAGTCGTGAATAAAGACTGGGTGCAAGCAACATCAGACAATGTTTTGGTCTGCAGCTGATCCCTTTATCTAAATTTTGAATGGTTCCTTGTTGAAAACACAGACTTATTGACACTGAATTCATCAATCAAATAGCAACACAGTCTCCATTAAAAAATTGAAGTAGAGTTTCATTTTCTTATTACTGTTAAAGTCCTAATATAAACCGCACCGGTACTGTAGAATGATAATTAACAATATTTCAATGATCTTCGCAGGTGTGCTGTTCATCTACAAAGAATTGTACTTACTTATCAACTGATTGGTTAGCTGCCCCTATCACGTCCATCATTGGTACCAACGGAGTTCAAATCTCTACAAAGCACTGTAGTGGTGCTAAATTGCAAGCTATACGTTATGCATGGAGGGACTGTCCATGTGTTTACAAACAATGTACCATATATGACAAAGACAGCAACTTGCCAGCTCCATTGTTTGTGTTCTCACTCAAAGAAAAGATAGTAAAGTGGATCAATTAAGACTGGTTTTGATTAAGAATATATAAATTATACTTCAGTGATCAAAGTGACAGTATTCATGACATCCATTTATGTTTCTAATTGTACAAAAAAAAATTCTATTCATTTTTAGCGACATGTGGTCGCTATTAACTTTCATCTGGTGAAATCAATGTAAATATAAATGGGACTGCCAGGATAAGGGTTAAAGGTAATAACGTTTTGTACATAGTTTCTATGGTAATAACATTTTGCACACAGTTGCAATAAATGATTTAGGATGTAAAAAATTTGATACAAAATTTTCTTATTTTTACATTATATATAATTATATAAATAAAGACCGGTGCTAATGCTACTCTTATTAGTCTCAGCTTCCAAGTGATAAATGTATAACACATTACTGTTCTGAAATAAATGTTATTAGTACAGCGCCACTTGCATCTACCTTAATTCTGAGAACGATATGCTATGGACTACTTGTATAGATCATCATCTAGTCATAAAGACGAGAACATGTTTATAAACATTCTACACTAAATTATATTTAGTGAACATTTTCAGAACATCTCAGTACGACTAATTTGGAATTAGTTTAATATTATAATCTGTTATTTTAGCATAGGAAAACACGGCTCTACTGACAGGAATAGAGGATACCATAATGTTATGGAGAAACTGACTCAACTGTGCATATAAACTGGACACCTCGCATAAAGCCTTTCTTCGATAGTTGTAGATTCTTTGCCTCGTGCACATTGTGTGAGGTTTACTAGGAAAGGACCGTTGCATTTAATACTAAGCAGACTGTTTTTTCAGAACTAATTTGTTCTTGCATGATCAGAGCAGAATGCAAAACTAAACCCCACAAATCTGAACGTTTTCCAGATTGACTAGCTGTTTAAATGCATAGGGAATTTACTGAATAAGCCAAGCAGGTGAGTTGTGATGCAACGTAACATGCTGTTATCAGGTGTGACATTTGCATAAAAAGAGTTGCACATCTTGTGTGTACTGTGATAACACACATCCAGTCAGATATAAATACTCAGCGTCAGACTCAAGACCAGACTCAAGTTACAAAACAGTTCATTTATAACAATAGTTTCTATTGCAACAAATATGATAATTGTACTTTTGGGGGCTTGTTGCCTATAGTATGAAATGAACATTGTTTATCATTTCCTATTGTATTTTGCAAAGGATTATGGGTTAAAAATTGAACATTAGCTGTTAATTTAAACCTCTGCCGTTTTTGAAATTGCGTGGTTACATTAGACTGTAGAGTAATTCTTTGCAAATTCCAAAATGATGGAAATGTATTTCTGTTCTATATGATAAACTGCATTTTCTCTATTAAAAGTGAATCTCCAATAGAAGTGCATATAAACCCTGAATTGTATTTATTCTAAGCTGGTCATTGTTTACTTGTATAGCAAATAGTTTCTGGTGACCATGTGTTGCCATGGAATTTCGTGAATAGCCTGCCAAGATCTTGGGAAGAAACTACACTAATCCCCCCCCCCCCCCAATCAGTGATCACTATGGTTTCTAAGCCAATGTGATGCCCCATTGACACACAAAGATTTGCTGTAATGCTACAAAAAAAAATCATACATTAATGTGGTGAATTCTAAAAACATCTCACTACAAGTTATGGAAATTCATGTTTTATAGACAAAATAAAAAATTTTCTTGAACTTCCTCAGCAGTCAAGTTGACTCAATTTTACAGCTACCATTTTAACTCTAGATCAGTCTTGCTAGAAAGTACACTGGTTACAAATACAAGCAGCCTATCGGCTGAGATAGCTCCGCTGTTAGCAATGCACATTTCAATTAAAGAACTGAAGACATTAGAAAATGAACAATATGTATAGTATCAAAGCAATCGGACTTAACAAGAAGTCGAAAATATCACTTTTTACCAAAAATTACAAAAATATTCACCAAAATATCATCACAAATGAACAAATCTGAGAGGTCCACATGTAGTACATATATATGTAGTATCAAAGCAATCTGACTTACAGTTTTTAACAAGAAGTCGAAAATATCACTTTTTACCAAAAATATTCACCAAAATTAGAGAATTGAAGATATCACGAAATGAACAAATCTGAAAGGTCCACATGTAGTACCTATATATGTAGTATCAAAGCAATTGGACTTGCGGTTTTTAACAAGAAGTCGAAAATATCACTTTTTACCAAAAATGACAAAAATATTCACCAAAATTAGAGAATTGAAGATATCATTACAAAATGAACAAATCTGAGAGAGGTCCACATGTAGTACCTATATGTGTAATATCAAAGCAATTGCGGTTTTTAACAAGTCGAAAATATCACTTTTTACCAAAAATGACAAAAATATTCACCAAAATTAGAGAATTAAAGATATCATTACAAAATGAACAAATCTGAGAGAGGTCCACATGTAGTACCTATATATGCAATATCAAAGCAATTGCGGTTTTTAACAAGTCGAAAATATCACTTTTTACCAAAAATAACAAAAATATTCACCAAAATTAGAGAATTGAAGGTATCATTACAAAATGAACAAATCTGAGAGAGGTCCACATGTAGTACCTATATATGTAATATCAAAGCAATTGCACTTGCGGTTTTTAACAAGTCGAAAATTTCACTTTTTACCAAAAATGACAAAAATATTCACCAAAATTAGAGAATTGAAGATATCAAGATGAAATGAACAAACCTCAGAGAGGTCTACCCAAGGTACATATACACCAAGTATCAAAGCTTTCAGGCTTGTAGTTTTCAAGAAGAAGTCGAAAAAGTAAAACATCGACACGGACGACGGAGGACAATCACTCATATGATAAGCTCCGCTCGACAAAGTCGACAGCGGAGCTAATAAAGACTACATAGATCAGAGTGGCGTGATGATGCAATACTATTTGAGGGATAAGCAGCATTTTGTTTTTGTTTTCTATTACTGTGAAATACATAATTTTAGCTGGAATTAATTTTCGCTGAAAAGGCTTTTTGGGTGTTTTGTATGGAATTTATTTTTGCTGATTTTTGATGAGTTGAATGTGAAATATAGGAAAAAAAATAGTATATTCGCTGGATTTATTTTCACGGAATCAACCCTTCAACGAAAATAAATTCCAAATGAAAATAAAGTATTCTACAGTATCTCAGTTTTATGCATGTTTAATTGTTTATTACTGCACATACACCATCAACAAATGCTGAATAAAAACAAAACAAAATTTATTTCTTCATCATAGAATTGGGTACATGATTTTGTGGTTGGGAAAATAAGTGGAGAAGTCTTATGTCACTGGACTCTGTCATTCCATAAAATCAAGGACTTTGTAGCACTCCTTTGGAGAGCATTGCAGTTACGATACAGAAACGCATTTGGTTTGACACTTAAAGATTTCTTGAAATAACTGCATCTTGAGTTGTCTTCACTGCTGGATTCTAGCAGGCTGTCTAATAAGTTAGCAGCTACATTACAGGCATTGGGTGCTGGGTGGGAAGCTGACCAAATCTTCGTTTTATGATAATTCTGTGTCTTGAATATTGGTCATCTGGAGAGAATCGAGCTGTAATTTTAAAACAGAAAGATGCTGTGATTTTGTTCTGCATGAACTTGATGTCATCACGTAATGTTGCCATCATGTTAGTGGTGATATCTCTAAAAGCGCGGTGGTCGTCTCACAGCGTGTGTTGTGACACGACTACTCCTTTCAATAAAATGATTACCTAACATGTCCAACATAACTCCACTATTCTCTGAACAGCTTTACCCACATAGAGCAGATAGATATTACAATATCTTCTACCGCCCACCTGTGAGGAATCTAAATACATGTCATAACCTCTATGCAAAGACTATCAGCTGTCATATTTATACAACATACCAAGTTTATAAATACAAGAGGCAATATTTCTAGCTGGCTTTGAACTCAATTATGATTACAAAAAATACACTGCCAGAGAACCATGGAAATAATTGTGAGGAAATATGAATTTAATGATGTCAAAACGAAACATGAAAACAAATATCAATCAACTCTCAAAAATTATATGCAGTCATGGAAGGAAACAATTAAATATTTGTTGAAATAATAAAAATTAGGGAAATAAATTATTTAAAACAGATTTTGGAATGGAAAAATACCTTAATGAAGTAAAAGGCTACAAACATGATAAGAATTGTGAAAAAGTTTAGAATTAGTGACTGTAATTTGGAAATTGAATTGGGTAGAAGAAAACAACCATGCATAGAAGAATAGACTTTGTATATATAAAAAAAAAAATTCACTTCATCCTAGATTGTGAATCTTTGTTTAAAAATGCAACATCAAAACAAAAATATGAAATTGTAGCATGCATTGGCCAAATATTTAAAGCCATTCATGTAGTGCTATGGGCAAAACTATGGTGGTGTAGTTATTCAAATTCAGGGTGATAACTCATCTGCTAAACTAACAGTGCAGTATTTTATTTACCATCATTGTTGCATAACTTATTGACAAGACTTATATTCACAGGGGATTTTTACTTTTTCTTCTCTGTCTAACTTTCAGAATCAAAGAAAGCTTAGAAAGAACTTCCGTGTGCAGAGAGTATTGAAGACACATTAAAAATTAATTAAAAATTACTTGTACTTGAGATATTGATGGAATAGCTGAAAACTAATTATGTAAATCAGGTAACTGATATGACCAGATTTGAGTGTAAAACTAATAAGGCCTGCATAATGTAATATCTATGTACCAAGTTTCATGGAAATGTGATTAGAACAAAAAAACTATGAATTATTATTAGAGAATTAATATGAACAAATTTCAACCCAAAATTAATCGGGCCTGTCTATTGTTCTAGAGCATTTATGCACCAAATTGTATTCAAATGTAATGATCAGTAATTGAGATATCAGTGTTAATTAAATATTTTAATTAGATGATTACCGGGTAATAAGCATAAATATTTACCAAAAACTAATTTGGCCTCTGCATAGTCCTAGGTTCATTGAAATGTGATGATGAATACTCTATAAAAGTTTCATTAAAATCCAATTAGTGGTTCTTTATATATCAGTGGAACATTCATGGAAAAAAAATAACTAATTATGCAAATTAGGTAATTAATATCTACAATTATTTACCCTAAAACTAATCAGGTCTCTGCATAGTCCGAGAGGATCTATGTACACTGTAGCAAGTCTCATTGAAATATGATGATCAGTACTTGAGTTATCAGGCGAAAAGCTGAAAACTAATTATGCTAATAAGGTGATTATTATGCACAAATATTTACCCCAAAACTAATCAGGTCTCTGCACAGTTTTTAAGTAACTATGTACCAAGTGTCTTTGAAATTTGATGATTACTACATGTACTTGAAATATCAAAAGCTGAAAATTACTTATGCAAATTAGGTAATTATTATGTA